ACCTATGGGTAGTTAGTTTCAATTTTTCAGTTTTCTTATCTGTAACATGAGGATAATAAGCACATCTTCTATGTAGAGGTGCTATAAAGATTAAAGATATATAAACACACACACACACACACACACACACAAATACTTATAAGAGTCCTTGGCAGGTAATAAATGCCATGTAAGTATTATAGTTAGTATCATGCTTACCATTACCACAAAAAAAGGTGATATTGTTGGGCTTCTTATTTAACTGCCCTATTACAAACAACTTTCTTTTCAAATATCTCTGAGATTAGCCTATAGAAGAAACATGAAGTGCATTTCATATGTTGTGACTAGACTCTCGTGATTGCATGGGCAAATTTCAAGAGAAAAGATTTATACATAAAACATATAGAAATAACTAATGATTTGAAAAATCATAATATGAAACCTCACTAATATGAATGATTTCTATGTGGTTAATTATCTTCAAATTAAGAATGTTCTGAGGTTTTCTTGACTATTTGTGGCACCTTTGTTTTATATTAAGCGTAATACTGTAAAAATATATATGTAAAGTATCAGTCGCTTCTGGTGTGGTGATAATGCATTACTGAGAGTGATAAATATCACTGAATTCTTTGGCCCATCAAAAAAGAAAGCAAAATGGTTACTTGAAAAGTTTAAATATTTTGTCTTTCATCACTCCACTGTGTCATCCAAATGCATTTTTATAATAGTTTTATTGAGATAACTCACATACCACACACTTTGCACATTGAATGTGATAATTCAATGGTTTTAAGTATATCCACAGAGTTATGGAAATCACGACCACAATCAAGTTTAGAACATTTTCATCATTCCAAAAAGAAATTCTATTACCCATTTGCAATCACTCTCCATTCCCCCTCTTGCTGCTGCTGGCAACTTTTTATCTCTACAGATTCACCTATTCTGAACATTCCATATAAATGCAAATACAGCCCTGGCTGGTGTGGCTTAGTGGATGGAGTGCCAGCCTGCAAACCAAAGGGTCGCTGGTTCGATTCCCAGTCAGGGCACATGCCTGGGCTGGGGGCCAGGTCCCTGGTTGGGGGTGCGCAAGAGGCAACCACACATTGTTGTTTCTCTCCCTCTCTTTCTCTGTTTTTTCTCCCCCTCTTTCTCCCTCCCATCCTCTTTCTCTAAAAAATAAATAAATAAAATCTTTTAAAAAATGCTAATACAGTATGTGTCCTTTTAGGTCTGACATCTTTCATTTAGCATAATGTTTTCAAGAGTCCTCCGTGCCATAGTCTATATCACTACTTTATTCCTTTTTTCTGTCGTACAGATAACCACACTTCGTTTATCCAATCATCAGTTGATGGATATTTGGGTTGTTTCTGTTTTGTTCTATTATGAATAATGCTGCTGTGAACATTTGTTTACAAATTTTTATGCAGACATATGTTTTCATTTCTCCTGAGTATATATATATCTAGGAGTAAAATTGCTGGGTCATATGGTCACGCCATGTTTAATTTTTGAGGAAACACCCTGCTGTTTTCCGAAGTCGCTGCACCATTATACCTTTCCACCAGTCCTGTAAAGGGTTCCTATTTCCCCGAATCCTTACCAACATGCTATTTATTTATTTATTTATTTATTTATATCATAGCCATCCGGGAAGTATGACGTGGTATCCAAATGCACTTTTTAGATGTAAAAACATGGAGACACATTGGACAAGGAAGTACAATATTTTATGACAAGGGGAAGCATGAAGAGATCAGGAAAAGGATCCTTAGGGTTGGGCTGGAAAAGGAAGAGGAGATATTTTTAAGTCTGTTACTCAATTTCATGTCTTTACGCAACTAACTGCCCTATCCAAAGGGTCAGGATTGTGAACAGTCCTCAATTTCACATCTGGAGCTTCTAATAAGCTTAACAACTTATCTTGGTTTATTGACTTACTTCACAATATTCCTTTCCATGTTATAGTCCATTGGATCCAACACCACAAACCTCCTGTGGGAGTAATATTATTATTCCCACGCTGCAGGTAAGGGCACTAAGACCCAGAATGGCTAACTGGCCCCCCAAAAAGGTCCTTAAAATAAATAAATACATACATGGATAAACATTAAATAAATAAAATCCACAGAGCTGCACTTGGATGCCCATTTTTTTTTATTTCAAATCCTAATCCCTAGTTTCCTCTTTCCTCATCACCTTCATTTACCTCATCTCCGGTGACCTAGAAAGTCATGGACAAGTAAGGGAGGGCAGCAAGGAATCGTGTGTGTGTGTGTGTGTAGCAGTTAAAAGCAGAAGGCCTGCACATCACAAAGTCCCCACAACCAGCCTCTAAGAGTGCAGCCAGGGGTGTAAAAACAAGCTGTGACAGTGACAGCAAGGATGGCAGTGTGCCCGCTCCTTTATGAGAGGTCTCTGCAGCCGTCAAGAAGCCAGGGCATAAGGCCACCTCAGTCCCTCAATTCTGAACATTGTATTATCCGTACTTACAGCAGTATATTAAATTACACACTATGTTTATTCAAATATTTATCGAGCAATTATTTATGTGCCAGGCATAATGCTAAGATGAGATTTTTTTAAAAAAACAGTAACTATAATCTTCCGAAGTAAAATTAAATAGCTAGTATTTACAAAACTTCTTACGTAGAGCATCTCATTTAATCCTCACAAAATTCCTGCAGAGAAGTGGAAACGGAGGCGCAGAGAAGTTAAGTAAATTGTTCCAAAGTCACAGAACAAATAAATGGTGGAGGCAGAATAAGAACCCAGGCAGCCTGGGTCTGTATCCTGTGATCTTAACCACCACCCAATCCTTCCTGCCAGATCTTGCTAGGCTGGAAGTCACATGTGGTGACACAAGGAGACCAATAATATTAATTAATTCCAGCAACCATTTCCTGAATGCTCATTAATACATGAAGCCCAGGGGCAAATTCTCACAACCAGCCCAAGAAGTACTTATCTTCATTACCACTGTAGAGGAGGAAAGAGTTTCAGAGAAGTAAATTAACTTGTCCAAGGCCACAGAGCTACAACAGCTAACACAGATTTGATGCTTACTGTGTGTGTGTGTGTGTGTGTGTGTGTGTACACATACATACACACACCAGGCACTGTTCTAAGCACTAACTCATCTAATCCCCCTCATAACACTATGAGGCAGGTTCCATAATTACCCGTCATCTTTGTTTAGAAACTTGTCCATAGTCCCACACTAGTCAAGTGGCAAAACAAGGACTCACTCTGGCTTAAAGTCCTCATCAGAACAAAATGCTGGGGGCGGTGTTGGGGGGGGCGGGGCGGAGAGATAAGAAGACTAAATGGTAATGGAAAAAACCTAAAATAAAGACAAAATAAAAAACCCTAAAAAAAAAAATCCTGACTCTTGGCTGCAAAGTGGCAAAGCAGATGTTCGAACCCAGGTTTGTCTTAACTGAGTGAGAGAGAGAGAGCGAGAGCCCTCTATCTTCTTACCAACTTACTGAGCATGGCCCTCAAACCTACTGTAGTGCCAAAGGGTGTTAGGGAAGGAGGGATTACCAAGAGCTCTGGGGACCACCAGGAAAAAGGATTTAAGCTGCATCTTGAAGGTGAAAGTAAGTGTTTGTTGGACAAAGAGGGGGACCATGCAATTTATTAAAGGAAGTAGAAAGTATCCAACTGAGGACTGTGAAAGGACAAGGTAGTGAGAAGCAAACAAATCATTTACAAGTGTTGCAAATTGAATTATAAGATCTTTATTGTGTTTTAATTTTTTTCAGTTAGAAATATTCTTGATGAAGAAAAACAAGCTTTTATTCACTTAAATCTGGCTATATATTAAAAAATCATCAGGAAATAGAAACGGGCAATTCTTGTAATGTTAAACTCAATTCTGACTTCCAAAATTTACTTTCCTCAATGTAAGTGCTGCAAGCAGGGTGATTAACAAACCTTAGGGATCTCTGCAAGATCTTCTGTCCTTCAAGTCTGAAACACAGCATTTAGGAACTGTAATGAGCCTGGAGACTCAACCAAGAACTAGAAGGAACGGGTGCGTGTTGTCCCCGCGGGGAGAGAGGACGGCAAGTTGTGGCTCAAACACTGCAGAGCTAGGGTTTTTCCCTGGCAAACTGATTTATGACCAGGAGAAGGGCAGCTGCAGAACCGGTCGGACCATAAGCACAGTTCTCAAACTGGAATCCGAGAAAACCAGGAATGAGATGTAAATGGAAAGGCGGTGTTAGTTCTGGGGGAGTCATTGCCCAATCTGGATGAGACCTGTCAAGTCCTAATTCTTGCAGCAGCCTGGCCGCTAGACACTGTTGCCCAAAATGTGCGCGCTGGGGGAGTTGACACAGCTGCAGGGCAGCGGGACAAGGTGCCTCCACGCCCCCTTGCGGGCCCAAATTACGACTGACGGGGATGTACCTTTTTCAGTGATAGGTACAGCGTGTCAAAAATGTTCTCTCAGTTTATCCCTTACAACAGCCCTTTAAGAGAGCCGCGGTGATCAGCCCCATTTTACAGATGAAATGCTGAGGCTCAGTGAAGTGAAGCAAAACTTGCTAGCAAAAAGGAAAACCTTAAATGAACGCGATCGTTGGGCTGACTCCTTTTATCTAAGTGTAAATAGGAGGGGACTGGAGCCGGCTGGGGCCCCCACACCGACCCCTCTGGCTCTGCGGGTGAATTAGGAGCCAGCTGTCAACCGGTAGGCCTGGCAGAGAGCGCCCGGGTGCCAGGGAAAGGGAGCGTGCGCGGTGGGCGGCAGCGCGCCTGCGGGCGCAGCGCGCACCACCAGCTCGCCCGCGCCCGCTTCAAGAGCCCCGCTCCAGTGTGCCCGGGCGCCGGGCTGCAGCGGCCAGGCAGAGGCGCCAGGCGGACGGTCCACGAGCCCGCAGCCGTCCCGGAGCCCCGCGCGGGTCGCAAGCCACGAGCCAGGGCGCGCGTGCGCGCGGGACTGCTGCGGACACGAGCTGGCAGTGCCACCGCGAACCCACCGGCACTACCCCACGTCTTACCGTAGCTGCTCCCCGGTGACCAGGACCTCAGCCATGCGCTCCAGCTCCCTTTGCTGCGCCCCGCCACTCCCGCTGGGGCTGCTGTCGCTGCCACCGCTGCCACCGCTGCCAGCGCTGCCGCCCTCCATGCTCCCAGCCGCGCCGCTCCCACTGCCTTCCCTGGCCGCAGCGGGTTTGGGTGTTAAATCAGTCTGCCCTCACAGAGGCCTCTCTCGCCATATTTGTTCGGGGCAATCCCGTTGCTCAGACACGATTGGCTGGAAAGGGAATCCCTGTGGGTAGGCTGGCGCGCTGGGCGAGTCGGCTCCAGAAACTCCAGCTTGGGGGCGTGGTTGAAGCCCGCTTGTTCGAGGGGCGGGGCCGAGGGAGGAAAATATAAACATCTGGGCGGGGCGCCGGTTTTGGGTTTTGTGTGCCCGTGGAGGTTGAATTAGGTGAGCGCAGGTTCTTGTACCCACGAAGCTCCTGCCGTGGACCCTGGGGACGGGCTGGGAGGTTACTAAACAAGTGTGAAGATATTTTAATTACACTGTCCATGCCCCGAATTGCCAGATAATAACAATATAGCTAAATAGTGAAGGGGGAAGAAGGTTCAGGTCACTTCAGGGCATGGAGAAGTTAATTTTCTCTCCCCAATCCCTTTCACCAAAGACAGTGTACTTATCTTAAGGTGTCATCAATGAAGAACGCTGGCCTGGGAATCAGACAGACCTGGAATCCAGCTTCACGCCTACAATTAATCCTCGGTTTACAAAATAAAAATAGTTGTGGCTACCACTTGTTGACATCTGATGTATTAAAAATGCCCCAGTTAGTTGTTATCTTCTTTAATTAGTGCAACAAATTATCCTCATTTTGGATATTGTCCTCATTTTATTGGAGGAAGGCTCAGAAAGATGGAGAGAGTTGTCCAAGGCAAGCAGCTAGTAAGTGCAAGAAGTATGAAGAATCAAACCCAAGATATTTCGGCTTTAAGTTGTGTTCTTAAAGATTGCCTCTTAAAGTGGAGGTACTGATATGTCTCAGTGTCAGTGTCTTTCATTACAGTGTGGACAAAAAAGGAAATGTTCTACAGAATAACGTCACGAGGTGATCTGATCACTCATTCCTAACTGGGCAGGCCGGTGTGCGTAGTAACACCCTAGGCTTGTAACTTCTTTACTAAAAGGCCTATCTTCGCTTTAAGCAAGCCCTACCCCTTGTTCCTGTGCGTGGTTAACACACCTTCGAAATGCTCCCCTTTTCAGACCCCTTTTTCTACAGCCTCAAGAGAGCACAGAGTCTTAATCATCCTGTAATCTGATCCCCATCTTGCTTTCTCCCACCTTCCTGGACTCTTCCTTCTGTCCCCTCTTTAATCTCAAATGAGTAAAAGAAACTGCAAATTTAGTCTCTGAAGCATGTGTTTCAGTCTGTTGAGCTCTTGCTTCCAGATGTTTCCTCTGTTTGGCTAAATACATTTTTATAAAAATTCTCTACAGGTTTGGACGTTCTTAAATTGACAACAAGTAGTGGTCAGCAGTTGGCAGACCATGTTTTGACTACTACTAGTTAATGATGAATGGCTATGTGAAAGAGTGAATCAAACATGCAAAAGTATATTGTCAATGAGTAAGCTTAATAACGTGAGCTATCATTGTTGATATCTTGTAACACACACCTGTATTGTTTCTGCCTAATCTTAAAGATTAACTCAAATTCCACATCTTTGTGATGTTGTCTTGCATTCCCCAAGCAGTTTGTTGCTCTTTTCATTGAAATCTTATATGGTATCAGATTTACATTGTTTTTAACCATTAATAAAAGTCTTTTTTTAAAAAATTAATTTATTTTTTCAAATACATTTGTCTCTGCCTACCCCCCACCACTTTCCCTTACACCCTCTCTCCCTCTCTCCCTCCCTCCCTCCCTCCCTCAACTCTTCCCCTTTGGTTTTTAATAAAAGTCTTGATTCTCCTATTGCCATGCTACAATTTTTATTCTTTCTCTATGAATAGAAACAAATTGGTGGTTTAGCAGTGTCCTGTTCAGATATTTCTGTTGATAGATTCTTAAAGGGAATTTGTCTTTAGAAAATAAATATAAAGCTACAGAAAAATAAAATTTTCATGTATTTATAATTCACACTCATTTTTAATATTTCTGTTGTGTTTGAATCATCTTTCTGGAGTGAAAAAAATAAATCATTATAAGTAAATGTGAGGTCCTCTTGTCCTCCATTCTCAGCCCTGCTGACTTCGTAAGCAGTCTTAGCTTCTTAACCTTGGTTCTGTGCACTCTGATGCTATGCGTTAAAAGGCAAAACAAAAATGCTTAATGCTTTGGTATATACTGCCACCTACTGACTTCTTTTGTGATGACACTAAATGATAGTGGGTCTCATATAGAAAGGCCACCCTTAAGAGTACCTTTTAGAATATTTTGGGTGTGGGCTATGCTTTGTCACATTATTGGGGATGCTACTGGTTTTTAGTGAGCAGGGACCAGGGATGCTAAATGTTCCCATTTTCTTGGGACATCACTTCACAAAAAAGAAGTGAATTGTCCTAAATCCAGAATGTTTTTCTTGTGTCCTGTGGATATTCACGTGGACGAAGTCTGTATGCTGTTATCTGAGCCTATAATCTAATTTGGTTTTACATAGAAACACAATGTATTTCATAAACAATTTTAATATAATCCTGAGTTGTCCAGGATGCAATTATTGTGTACATCAAGAAAAGACTGCATTTTTTTCACTTCAGAAATTTACCAAGAAAAGTTCATCGTTGCATAAAATTGTTTCATTTGCCTTTTGTGTGCTGTATGCACCATGAATACAATGCATCCTTTTCAGCCTGCATTTGTGGTGATTCCATGTACTGCTGAATTAAAAAAAAAATTATGTTGTAGGAATAGGGACTTTCCCCATTTCCTCTTTATCATTCTGGCTGGTCAAATAAGGCAGATTATCAGGAAAAGATCACAAGGAAGTCCCAAGCATGAACATTCCATGGAAAGCGAGGCAAATTTAGGTATATCTGCCATTCTGAACTAAGGAGGGGAGAGGTAGTGTTATGGGACAGAGGCCTGGCCCTGAGCGCTCAGGGCCAGCTGGTCTGTGTGGGTTTTTGACATTGGGTAGGAAATATTTCACAAGAGTCCAGGTGCCTGCAAGGATGAGTTTATTAAGGCTGGGGATAGTGAAACAAGGAAGGGCTTAGCATTAAAGAAGCAACAGGAGAGCCTATGCTGGGCTGCCTTTGCTTACTGGGAAGTGAGAGAAAAGAGGGCCTTCGGGACAGATTCGGAGAATTAGCCTGGGACAAGCTGCCAGCTGTCCGTTGCCTTAGAGTTTGTGTGCCTGTGAAGAAAGAAGTGGGAGAAGACGAAGGGAAAAGGAATGGCGTGGGCTGCTCCTCAGAGGGAGACGCAGGCAGGCTGGGCCCTTTGTCTTAAGGCTTTTGCCTCTCTCCTGCAGGTGGGAACCTTCGGGGATGTCTCAGAGGAGGGTTAGAGCAGAATAGTCATCAGCTTTCCAGGTGTGCCCTTTCAGGGTCCTGGTCTCCTCTGATTGGTCAGTGACAGGGGGTCTTTAGCCATTGTTGGTTCTGGCATGGCCCGCCATGTTTCGCTGCTGTTCCTGGGCCTGGAGCTGAAATACAACTGAGGCCTAGATGTTATCTCTAAGGGAGGCGATCTTCTGTGTCTGGCTGTAAATTGCTCGGCCATTCTGTTCAGCTTCTGGCTCAGTTTCCCTATTCCACTTGCCAAGGAATTTTCCCAGTTTTTTACTATCCTGTCTCAGTAGGAGTCTAGGACTTCAACAGGAAGTAAGACATTTAAAAAGGAGATAGAATAAGAGTTAATGTTTAGTAAACAATGTTTGTTGGGGTCATCTTGAAACAATGAGACACAATGAGGACTTTGATTAAAAGGGCTTTGTCAGATTCCTCCCTGTTTATCACACACTAGTTCAGATTAAACTATAGTTATTGAGGATGACACCTCCTTTCCTAAAGCAGGTCCTCCTTTGTGCTCTATCTAAATCCTTTTGTGGGGGAGGTCAATGATTCTTTCTGAGCCTTTTCTTTCTTTAAAATATTCAGTATCTTAAAGAAACATATTTTTGGGTGGCAACCTCTGCTGCCCTTGGAAACAATCTAGGAATTCACAAATAACCTGGAAATACAATTCACTCCTAAACAATTCAGGGGCAAAGAAGTAACTTCAAAGAGAATTAGGAAATATTTCAAACATGTGATAATGGAAGATAATCTTTCAAAATTTATGGGATACTGCCAAAAAGAGCTTAGAGAAAAATTCATATTTTTAACTGTTTACATTAGAAAAGGATTCCCTAAAATCAATGATAAAAAGCTAGAAAAAAAATAAAGTAAATCCCAAATAAGTAGGAGTTTACATAAATAAATAAGTAAATAAATAAAGACATACCCCCGCCCCCGGAATCAAAATAAGTAGCAGTGCATATTTAACAAACATTCTTTTTTCTTTTTCTAAGGGACATGAGATAACTTTTGGCATGAGGAGTGTTGCTGGCAATGTTGCCTCTCTGTTCTGGAGTTTGGCAAAGAAAGAATTCAGAGCCAAGAACTCCAGCACAAGAGGCTACTTAGCAGGCAAAGCGAAAGTACACGAGAAGGGAAGGTTCAAGTGGGCTGTTCAGACAGCCGCCTTGGCCCTTTAGAAAGAAGGTCACAGAGGAAGAAGGGAGCCAGCTGGGCTGCAGGAACTCAGGAAACAAGGTACAGAGGCAAAAGAAGGGCCCGTGGAGTCAGGTTCAGGGGTTCGCCGGAGAGGAACTGGAACTGCCCACTTCTCCCCTGGCTGCAAGTCTCCTGTTCCCATGAGGTTGCAGGTCTTGTGTAATAAGGTACAGCTTATTAGAAAAAAACTAAAGTTACACACCTGAAGCTGGGGCGGGAGTGGGGGAAGGATGTGGACAGGTCCAAGGAGAGCAGGTGCTGGCCCCTTTTTTCTAAGAATTTTTATATGTTTTCTGAAAGGCAGGAATTTTAGGGAATGTCCCAAGGAAGGATTTCAGTAGAATATTCGTCAGCGTTCGAGGCATGTCCTTTTGTTACAGAACAGCAAGTGGGGTCCTGCTGCCTGCTACCCCCCTCTTGGCAAAATTCCAGAGGCCAGGGTTTGATGATAAAGGAAAGGAGTCTATTCAAAAGCTACACAATTTTGGGATAACAACTTTCCATATGGATTGGTCACTTAACCCTATCAGTT